GATACCTGGATTATGCATATTGCAGGGACTTATAACTTTTCTTTATTTGCGACGGAAAGGCATTAAATGTACAAAAGTAACTAATCATTTAATAAAAGAAAATACACAGATCACTAATAAGACAGAAAAAGAAATAGTACTAGAACAATTAGCATCCACTACAGTTAGAAGGCCAGAATCACCAGGGGGTGGACTGAATTTATACCCTGAGTAAACCATACATTAATTACAGCCCCCCCCCCCCTTTCACCATGACTGACTGAAATGGGATCGTTCGTAAAATGGTTCAATAAATGTGGGATTGTAGGGTGTATAACAAGTAATTAGTTTCATTCATTACAATTTACGTACGCTATATTGCTGTGTACAGAGGTACCGCGCTCGCTACACATATTCTGTTGTTGTGTCTACATGTCATTTGTCCGACAATATTAAATATATACCGCTGTTTTGTCCCTACCATTGAATATTTACATTTGGTTTTGCACTATGAACGTTTTTTAATCGTGTTGTACTCTCCCGGACAAGTGAAAATCCACACGTTCAGTTGTGGGTGAAGATTACAATACCTACATATTTTATGTTCGCTAAGAGAGTTACTGGCCACAAAACCTCTCTTATACATTCTGTCAGAAACATGACTGATTTGAGTTTAACCAGACTTTACTGAGGTACACAGTTAGAAACGTACTTGGCGATAAGCCAGTCCAAAGCATGACATGATTGGTAACTGAATACAGGCCGGCTATTTCTTTACAGAAGATGCGATATGCATTAAACTGAGGAAGCAACCTCTTAAGGAAGCAACAATAAACGCAGTGGACTATCAAAGTAGATAAAAACCTGTAAATACAGGAGGTGGCATTGTACATTCGACTTGAAGAAATGCTACGGTTGTTTCCGAGAAATTTCTCACCAGTTAATATACCTAACAGTATAAGAATTCTTTATACTCTGTAAAGGTTGTACCTTATTATTCAGTCTATGTTGACTTTCTCAGAGATTCTATTTTCATCCTTTCTTGGGGAGATGACATTTTAGAGTTTTACTATATTGATAACTGGGGATACATGGCATGTCATTTCTTGTTGTAAGTATATGTGTATATATATGAACTATTTTCAATATATTACAATGTTTTCAGGTTTGAGTTTATAAAGTAGGAATACAGATACTATTCCTTTATACTTCAGACAACTCCGCACATTCATTAGGAATACCAGTGAATCAGAGGTTGTTATGCTAATACAACGCGGGAGTTGTATCGTTTTTTTTTAATGTCTTTGGAATTATTGACTATTAGTTATTGTATGAATGTCACGTTTTCATTATACTGCATGAATTTATGATGTTACATGTTATGTTGTATGCTTTCATTACGTGGCTAGATGTTCATATAAGGTTTAGTTAGGTAGCTGGTATAATTAGAGTAGTTTTTAGTGATAAAATTGAAGATGGGAAACAATTTTGTTAAAAAATGTGTGGGGCGAATGTAATGAAATATAGGCAGAAAGGGGTTAAATAAACAAAGCATACATTTCAGACCACCACACGGCGTACTAATCACTGTGTGAAATGACAGAAATGGGTGATTAGAAAGCCATGGCCTAGCCAGCTATGCAGAACATCTACACGATAACCGCCATGACATCTGACAGTGAGGGATGAAACATTCGACGAGTGTCCGTGAGCAAGCACATGCACTGTGACCAGCTGAAGAGATACGTTCATCCAAACGTGACCACCAAAGACAGGTGACAGGGGAGTGATGGAGAAGGTACGCCAGAAAGAGCGGGAAAGCGGGAGAATAAAGTCAGAGCCAGGGGCTTGAGAAGTGAGTTAGCCACGGAACCGCTTGATAGGACAAGTTAGGACCGGACTGTTTGAGAGACCAGTTGAGAAAACTAGTGCTGTACTTCGTTTAGAAGGTATATGTTAAACTTGGAGTTTAGCTAGAACAGTGATTAAGGAACTCGTAGAGAGTCATACGAATAGTCAGTATCAAGATAATAAAGTGTTCATATACTATTGCTTTTTTAATTTATGAAGCCTGTGTGACGAGAATATTGTGAATAAACCAGCTCTTGTGTAATTGATTACATCACTGGCCTTGTTCTTGAGTACGATTGAAGAGAGCTACGAACTGTATCCGTTCATCTTGGCCGAATAGGCACATCTATTTCTTGGGGGATGTATAGGCACGACTGTGCCACACTAGTACCTGAAAAGATTGCATATGTTATTTATCTGTCATGACATGTTTCTGTTGTCTGGTCTTACTTCAGCATCTCTTGTTGTTTTATTGACCTCATAAAAGCTAAGGGAACTGGCATGTAAAACTACAAGGTCCGACAATTAAGTAATTAGACTGATTGTATTATGGTCAAGATAAAAAGGCAATCTATGAAGCAAAGTATGGAATCTAAAGAGGCAACATTCATCTATGATGTGGCAACTTTTAATCTCCGCTCGATAAGCAGACAACAAATAGGCCGCCATTTTGTTGACCCAGTCAGAGGTGCATTGTTACAAAATAATCGCGGAGCTAAAAGCTAACATTAAAATCTTTTTAAAACTCGGAAAAAGCGCGATTGAAACAGTTAAATTATTGGAACAAGTTTATGTTATTAATTGTTTATCTCGCGCACATATGTTCAGGTGGAATTCACGATTCAAAAGTGGTGTGGAAAGGATTACTAATGCACCTAGATTTGGAATCAAAATTTCTGTTCGTAATGATGAACATTGCAAAATTTAGAGAACGCATACAAAAAGATCATGGTTTTACTGTGAGGATGATGGCAGATGAACCTGATTTTAATAAAGAAGCCATTCATAACATTTTAGTGCAAGATTTTAGTCTCATTACTCAATTGTCGGACCTTGTATAGTTGTTTAATTGTATGAAGAACAGTATACCATTTTCCGTAGAATTGATGAAGTCTTTTATGAATCATACGTGTTCTACATCACTTTCATAATTCGTGCAAAGGCAGTCACATGGTCTGAAAGGCATTTCAATTTTTTGATACAGAGAATATAATCAACAATGTTCCCATTGCAGACATCAAATATATGTTTATTCGTTAGTGTTACGTTACCAGCTTTAAACATGTTCTCTTACCTAATGACAATCTACCAGTGGTGATATATTTCTTTAGAAGAGCCACCAAAGCCATAACAAAGAGCGATAAACATGTAAAGACTAGAGGACTGGGACTGAAAGCAACAGAACTTTAATTGATTTTACAAGTATTTTTCAAAGCGGAGTCAATTTGCCAATGTTTGGCGCATCCTCAACGGGACAAGATAACAGACTTTAGAAGAAAGCGCTGAAGAGTTGTTCCGTGCCATACTGCCTATGAACATATCGAACGTTGACACCGACTAGAAGTGACAGAAACAAGCAATAGCTTAGGTTCGTGGTGTAGAGTTTCTCTGGATCGCGGAGCTCCATATGACATCAGTAGCGTTCTCATCAGGGAAGCCCGTCGTAGTGAGGTTTACAAGTGCTGGTGTTGTGCTCATTGTGCCTGCGACTGTCGACTCCGTGCCGGGTGGAATTTCAGTATAGAAGTCATTGGTCGTTCCAGGAACACCAGTGCTCCTTGCAAACGTGACAGCTGGGTCTGTGGTACCCAGTGTGGTTGGCGTTGTCAGTGTCACAGGAGCGTAACATTTGTAGCCGAGAGCACAAGTGTTTCTTTGAACCTGGGGAAATAGTGTTATGTTACACACAACATATCTTTGGTGTCTGACATTTAAACACATATTTTTATCGTCTCACTACGTATAGAATCAAACGCACGGTATTCGACCCAGGCCCTTATCTAGTTAACATAGTTGGAAAGAGAAGCCAACCATAGAGATTCATGAAACGGTATTATGTTTGAAGCAATGAATCTCAAGGGCTCAGAACAAGCTTCACCTGTCTTGGACATGCAGTAACATGTTGGTAGAAGTGAAACAGAAATCAAAATATAGGAATACCTAAGACAGTCGTAAACAAGATGCGAAAATTATTGAGAGCTAGAGAGATAAACAATACAAAAATAAAATTAGAATAGTCAAATTGTATGTATACTCGACCCTGATGTATGGTGCAGAAACCTGAACTATGAACAGGCAGCTAGTAAATATAAATAAGTTTCTGGAAATGTGGATGTACAGAAGAATAGGTCGTATTTCATAGAAACAGAAACAATCAAATACATAGATTATGAGAAGACTACCAATAAAATAAACAGAATTAAAATAAATACAAAAGAGGCGACTGAAATATTCAAGCAACATCAAAGGACATATTACACATTCAAAATCAAATTGAAGGGAAAGGTCAAGGTCAAGAGAGAAAGAGATAAATAACGATAGAAATGGGAGGACAATTCGGTTAGAGTTAGAGATACAGTAAGACACAGTGAGAGATAAGCAGACGGAAAAACAGACAGATACACAGGTATTGGGACACAATGGGACACACACTATCGTAAAAACACATCGATACATAGATAGTCAGACAATGTGAGCGAAAAACAATCTGCAGGCAGATAGATGCAGATATATTCAAACACAGTGATATACAAATAATTGAACAAACAGACCGATACAGGGTTATTCACTGTGAAAGACAAGCAATCGGACAGATAGATAAATACTCAGATATTCGGACACAATGAAAAGACAAGCGATTGGTCAGACAAACATATATATATGTATGTACATATATATGTATATATCTGTGTGTGTATATATATATATGTATATATATATATGTTGTGTATATATGAGAGGCATTCGCTCGGTCAGACAGATATGGGCTGGCGAGCAGACTGAACTGTGAACTATTTCCCCATGTGATGAATGTGTCGGCCGTCAAGGTTATGCAAGCATATCAAAACTTGTACATTGACTTCAGTGTCGACGCCGGCAATGGGGATTTGTGGCGTAGAATCAATGTGCTTTAGTGTAAGCATTTGTTGTCCTATGTATACTCACCTCAGTCATATTTCCCCGGGGTCAGTCTCTGAGCACACCATTCCCTGGGCTTTCTCGCAAACTGAGGAGAGTTTAGACAAGAAAACTGAGCTTGCAGCAAAAACAAATTATGTCTGTAAAACATAAGACTCAGTGTGTAATGTTGCTGCGATCTGAGTTTACCAGCTGCTTTTTCTGAACGGCCCTTTCGAGAAAACATTGTAATTTAAACAACATTGAAGAGAATGGTGCATGCATCTCGTTGTAATTGGCATAACATCGGTTGCTGCTCATGCGCTACATCTTAGCAAAGCTGACACTACAACAACAGAACACACAAAGAAGAAGATGGATTTAACATTTTAAGTAATGTAATCCGGTAATCAGTTTCAGCGTCACAGTAAAACATTTTTACTTCGTTCCAGGGCCAACGAAAAGCATACAGAATGCCAATCACTGGCTTTTGTGAAGATACTGACAAAGATTGCAGTCTCAACAATGTTAATATCACGCACAGGCAATAAATGTATAGAGCAGCCGACAAAAGGGCTAACATAAATAGTCCAGTACTAGAAATACGACTCGTCGTCATGGAAGCAACTGTTACAGCAAATGACTTTCTCAATAAAAAATCAGTAGCAATTTTTCGCAAGAGGCCAATCGCCATTTTCAGAATCTTCAGTTCCTAATAGAAACCACGGTTTACACCTTAGGTTTATTTGATCTAATTCAAGAACCGACATCACAGCATTCAGGGCATTTTCATAAGCGCTCCGTCCCCATCTTCAGCAGCCGGCGAAGAGCTCAGATACTAATGATGCCAGTAGAATTCTGATTAAACAACCGTCTTGCCTTTCTTCTGAGCCTCTAGCATCTGCCAGAACCTCTCGCTCCCCTCCCCTTTGCATCAATCTAACCAGACTGGTAATCCATCTGCTCCTCCGAACTGTGCACGCTCTCCAACAAAGCACTAAGCACGTCTGCTTTATCATGCATCAGTATTCCATCGTTGTGCAGAGTCAGCCAGTCTGTCTGACTGTTCACTTCCCAACACACCGGCATGACCCAGTGAAAAAAAATGCAGGTAATACTCCTCACCCGTGTTCTCCGTAGCAAAGCATGCCACTCTGCACGAAGCATGCCTGTCCTGATATTCCTCAGCATGCTTTCTGAGTCAGTTACAATCACTATGTGTGTATGTCGTGTTCTCTAAACAGCGGAAAGCTGCAGTGACCGCCCCCACCTCCATTCTTAAGCTGGATGTTGTGGTATCATATGCTAGGCTTTCCTGCACCAAACGTTGACCATAACCTTTTTTGCTAAGTTACACCTTAGGAAAGCCTTCCAAATGAAATCTAGAGACCACATTGTCGCACTAGGCACTCAGTTCAGTAGCTGTGTGACGGAACTATATACTATCAGTCTAAATATGGGGAGAATGCAACAGCTAGCCATTGTCAGTAGCAAAAACTTGAACGTCCAGAAAACAGTAAAATTAACTGGGCTTTCACACAATGCGACAGAAGCTAGTTCTACCCATGTAGTCGAAGACAATCAAATGTTCCTCCACATGACGCTTGATGGTAGAAGTAGAGCAAACGATGCTGGTGATTATGACTTCTGAGTATTCGAGCAGTGATCTAAGAACCATTTGTCCTGTAGGCTATTAACACCCAGCAGTATTGAAACATACTGCTGAATTTGTTACTTTCATTAATCGACGCTAGTCACTCATTATTTATCTGTTTCTCTTCATCCTCGCGTGGAATGTGGACGGTATTTGCTGTGATTGTTGAACTACCACGCTGTGCATGAAATCTGTTTCTTCTCCATATTCACCAGCTGTAAACTACTGTGAAAAGTTCTTGTTGTTCGCCCACCTCCGGACTTGAGTCTGTGTCCAGATCCTGAGTTTTGCGAGTACATCCGTTTTACAGTTCTCAATTGTTTGTATGCTGATTGTTGATTTCCTGCCTCTTAGACATTTGCACTCCTACTGCCAGTTAGTTGAATCTTACGACATGGTCGTTGGGGAGGCAGTAGACCTTCTCATGTCCCCCCCCCCACACACACACACACAATGGGGAACTGCAACCCACACTAGAGTACATAAAATATCGTTAACTTCCCTCAATAACTTTATCCTGGATAATCTAGTAGCATTAGTAAGCAAACATTTCCACTACTGACTTCGTATATCCCAGTCTTGCTTCCTGCTGCAGTAAGTTTAGCTTTAACTAAACAGACCTATAAGCTAAATCACTACTTTTTAAGTTTGTGAAAATCATTTCATGGTGACAGTGAGTGCAACTGCATTTATCTTTGGTTAAAGTAATTATTCTGAGCTATACTGCAACAGTTCAAATATGTAAGTACACGTCCTTCTATATATAATTACAGCTTAGAGTCTCTTCAGCTTTCATTGTTCCACAACACGTTTTATGTGTGTGAGTTATGTATGTATATATATATATATATATATATATATATATATATATATATATATATATATATATATATATATACATACACACACTAAGACACACTTACACGCGCATATAAACCTATCCCAGAACATAGATATGTAGACGACACGTGTGTTTTTAGTTCAAAAACTCACTGCACCAGTAAGAAGGACTATAGTCCGCTCCAAAAGTCGTGCCCAGCTTAAAAATCTATAACCCAGTAACCGTTGGGTGTACATTTCTGAAGTGTGGCAGACAACCTATTAAAAAGTATGTCCTTGTAGCAAAAAAATTATAACTTAGACACAAATCTTTGAGCTGTATGACATAAAAAAGACACCGATTTATAGCGTGCAGTTAGCATTTTCACATCAAATGGCAATAGGCGAAATTGGGAAAGCATCACAATGCTCGCGTGTTGGAGATAAACTACGGCGTGCTTTTTTTCTTAATTAAATTGGATACGTCATTTACTATCATAATGCTTGCTGAGTGGCTCATAAAAAAAATGATTTGCCCCTGACCCACCTGCTCCTTTTATTTAGGGGTACACCAATAATTAGTCCGTCAAAGATAAATGAAATTCGCCGCGGTAAGAGAGCAGCAGCACCTGTGCAATTTTAAATTATGGAGTTTTTTTTAGAAATCTAAGTCCATGTGCAAAAATTCGCATTGATCTGCACACGACTTTTCGAGATACAGTATTTGTTAAATTTTAGGTAAGACGTTTGGAACGGACTACAGTGTGCAGGAAGTCAGCCAGAAAAAAAAAATGATGTCCACAGTAAATACGGCATACCAGCCTCATTTTAAAATCGATAATAGAGAAATAGAAAAGGTCAAAGATTTTTATGATCTATTTTCAGTAATGAACATTAATGGCAAGTAAAAAAAAAAATAAATATCAGAAGTCCCGTTTTAACACTGCAGAGATTAAACAGCATTAAGAAAATGTAACATCATGAAATTTACAGTTTTGAGATCATATGGCTTTTTCGAGGCAATTTACGGATGTGAATCACGAACTCCTAATCAATCCTAGCTTTGAATTATAATGTTACAGAAAAATCATTAGAATACCAGGAGGATAAAAGAGAAAAACGTCGATATAATCTGAAAGTCGAAAACAGGCTCCTGTATAGCACGCTGTCCCGAGAGCTGATTCCCCCCTCCCCTCCCCCCGAGTCATGTTAAACTTCACGGTAGCCCGGGGGGGGGGGGGTGGGGGGTGATGGAGGGCACACTATCGTGAAAACGATGCATAGAGCGACTTCCACGAAGGTGAACACAGGTCACTGTAGATGCATTGACTACGAAAGCACATAGGGCTGGAGCGTCGACTAGAGAAGGAGATTTTCAGAAGTGATTTCACGAGAGCGACAAAAATTGACTGGGTGGCACACTCTTACACACATGGAGCCACTCACTGTGACGGGTGCACATCTTTGCATTCATTGAGTTAATGATAGCTATGCACCTCCATTGATTCTGCGGTGAGTTATTGATGCAGTTGGCTTGTCTGTACTCACAGATCAAGCTTCGCTGACATTCTCTGTCTCTCTGAAACAAATTCAATAATTATATGAGCCTGGACAGCTGACATTACACACAGAGATGGACAGAACACTTCCAACAGATTTTGTATAGACCTAGTTTTTGAGAACCAGTGAATTCTGATTGTAGGGTTGAGAATAACTTGACCAACAAGTATATGACAGGCAAATGTCATAGAAATCGAAGAGGCAATATATCAATTTCTGCGCCAACTAACAGGTAACAAGTAATGATATTAATGCAGACATGTTCAAGTCAGCAATGAAACCTTAACCCGAGTGAACATTTGTGTAACAGAAAATAGGACAGAGACACAAGTCGCACTTGAGAGAAAGAAAATACAGTTTGTTAACATTCGCCCAACCCGACACATTTTCAGCCCCCAAACGCCCCCCCCCCCCCCCCCACGCAATAATCGTATTACCGTAACAATTGAAGAGGAATTACTATGATATCCGTTACGTCCAAGAATGTTCGTAAAATAATCCTCAGCAGCATTTATAGGTTGGTGCACACAAACCTGATAGGGGTGCAAGCTTGTATGTGGAAGACGCTGCTTAGATTAAATAATCAAAATGGTAATTTAAAAAAAAAAATCAGATTGTTGCCAAACGTCGCGTAAATTTCATCGGTTGTAAGAAGCCTTCTAGATTATGTGAACGCAATATAGTAAAGTAAATAAAAGACCCTTTTTCCACGCCTTAATGCCTTTATTTCCTAGGACTGTACCTTGCACCCACTTAGGGCTGGGTTGACCTGAGAGCCAAGGTGTTTTTGAAAAAGTCCGATTCCTTCTTCTTCTTCTTCACTTCCTCTTTTACCGCTGTGGGTGTCGAGGGAGATATAAGGTTCTGTTTCTAGCTCTTCTGACTGCCTCGCCCATAGTCACATCGTGCTGTTGTAGAGTTTCTCTGATGTTATCCTTCCATCTTGTTCTTGGTCTACCCCGTGCTCTACGTCCTTCTTCTCTTTCCATGTATGCTTTGTATGGTATGGTGTCACAAGGCATTCTCTCTAAGTGGGCAAACCATTTCACTTGCTGTCTATGCATGTAAACCAGAATTGGTTCTGTGCCGACTTGTTTTCTTATGATCTCATTCCTGATCTTATCTCTTATGGTCACTCCGATTCCGATGAATCAAATATTTTATATTAAGTCATGATTCTCTAACAGGAAGATATGTTCAAACGATGCTACACACATCCACTACACAACCTACCCGTCTGTCCACCCATGTCCCATATTGTCTACCCGTGGCCGCCTCACTGCAGACGATGACCGCAACAATGGTGACGCAGATGAGAGTAAGACCCTGGTTTGTTGACTGGCTGCCCAT